GGGAGGGGAGGGGGAGGAGGGGGATGGAACAGGAAGGAGGGGAGAAGAGGGGAAGGAAGAGGAAAGGAGAAGGAGGAGGAGGGGTAGAGGGAGGAGGAGGAAAACTCAAAACTCCACATTCACAGAAAGAAGATACAGGTGTTGCCACTAAAAACAGCCCATGGAAGCTATGGGAAGCCTTCCCAACAATCTTGTCAGCCACTTTGAATTGTTGCACCCTTTCTTTTCTACTCACTGGCCTTCTGATTATGTTTCTGGTGTGTGGACTGTGTCTCTTATGAGGGCAGGGATCCTGTCCCCTCTCCACCTTAGGTATATGGTCGGGAACCAGGGGAATGTTAAGTTGATGGGAGGTGGATCAGAGACAACGTAAAGATAAGGCAGCGCTCCTGGACCCCATACCACCACCACCATCACCATCACCACCACCACCACCACCACCACAAAAAAATAATGCCAAGCAAAGGAATTGCCAAGATAAATCACTTTTATCTCTATAGGAAAGGGAGGATCTAGAAAAAAAATATAAATTACATTAGTAACACGACATAAGAAAAAAAAACAGGGGAAAAAAACAAGTATGTATGATGCTATTCTAACCTGTTTATAAAAAGGCCCTGCATCAGAAATTCACAATCCTACCCACTTCTAAAAATATATTTAGACATGTACAGAAGCGGTGGGCTTGTTTTTAAATTGTTTGCTTTTTTGTAAAAATATATTAAAGGTGAATAGAAATCCTCTCTCCCTGCCCCCTATCCTACCCCCAGCTCTGTGCTGGGTATTGGATACCAGAGGTAACTCTCTCACCATGTTCTAAACCTTGGTTACTGCAACTCCCAACCCCTCCCCAACTCACTTCACTTAGAACCTGAAACATTTTTTAAAAAAGCACAACTAGCCTCTTTGGAAAAGCATAACTCTGAGGGTAAACTTGCTTTTCATTTGAAACACAAAACAACAAACAGGAAGCTCTGAGAGCCCAACTAAACTAAACAGAAACCCGGTCAAATGGAGGTTGGGTTTCAGCTCCACAGAAACTTCTAACAAAGAAACAGAGAGGAAAGAGGCCTGGAACTTGGGGGATTTGCTAGCAATTAGCTGCCTTTGAAAGATCAAGGGGGGCTTGTTAATGGGCAGAAAGGCTGGGGTCCGGGTCTTGGTTACAGCAGTCAGGGCCTAGTCACGCAGTAGCCTACAGAGACACAAGCTGCCCCCTTTCCCTCCCCTCAGTACCCTCTGCTGCCTTGAAAACCCCAAGAAAAGCAAAGCTAGGCAGAAACAGAGAGGAGGGGAGTGGGGACTTCACGTGCTAGCGGGGAGGTAGCCAGGCTTTTTGCCTTTGGTGTGACTAGATGTAGGACTGCTTGGCCCCTGGGGTCCCCAAGATAGAAAAAGCAAATGGGGCTAAGGGACCCCTGATTCCAAGGAAGGAGAGTAGATCTGGACTGTGGAGAAAAGACAAACTGGAGACACAAAGACGACAAGGGAAGTTTCACATATTCCCTGTGGCCTGCATGGTAGCTGTTAAGTTCCCCAGAAGCAATGGGCAAACTGGGGTGAGGTTGGAGTGGGATAGAGGGTAAGGATGCACTCTACTTGGGCAGTGCCAAAATGGAGGGAGGGGGACATTCTCCATTCAATCCAGGTTACCACGGAGGCAGGACTGGTGGAGAGAGAGGGAGTTGGGGGAAGGGGAGGGAGAAAGGTGGGCACTGTCTGGTCAAGAGAGACACACACAAAGGGAAGAGGGGGAGGGGAGGATCAGATGATCTGTTCCTTTACAGATGGGTGCCTCTTCTCCTAGGCTTGAGCTCCTAAGTGGCCACCTGCACTCTGCTTGAGCGCTAACCTGACATCTGGGAGTACAGAGGCACAGGAGCGAAGATGTGAGTTCTGAGGTCTTCAGATCAAGACACCAGGTGGGGAAAGAAGCAGGAAGACTCCTGATGGATAACCCAGGGCTGAGCAGTCCTGCCACATCCTCCCCGGAAGGTCCAGGCTGTGCTCAGTGGTGCAGGTGAAGGGAACAGGCCGTAGAGCCCAGGTTATCTGCTTCAGTGGCAAGTGTTTTCAGGCTTTTAGGAGATAGTTTTTCACCTGCTGGGACCCAGCCCCAGCCACGTGGATAATGTTCTGCAGGACCTCAAAATCCAGGCAAATCCCTGGAGCTCAGCATGGGATGGGGGCTTCACCTCTAGCCAAAAGCAGCTTCCTCCAATGGGCTACAAAGTCATGGTCAAAGGCTTGGGCGTCGGTCCTCTCCCAACCTTGAGAAGTGACAGGAATCTCTCCCCAAAGATGAGTGAAGTCAGCCCATGGCCTTTCTGGAAATGGCCCATAATGGGGCAGTACGGAGACTCTCGGCTCTCCTCTTTATTTTCATGTGGCATTTGGCAAGAGAAGGCAAAGGCCAGACCCTTCCCCCAGGAACGAGTCTTGAATGGGATACATCTACTAGATTGGGGGGAGGAAGGGGAAGAAAGAATGGGCAGAGGTGGGCAGCCTTCCGGAGACAGGGCTGGAATTGTGGAAAGTGCTGAGCACTGGGCCTTCCACTTCATGACCCAGGAAATACCGAAGGGCCCAGGGTCTCCTCATGCCTCTCCTCATCCTGCCTTATGGCTCTAGGTAGAGACGAGAGACAAGGCTAATGAAAAGAAAATGGGTTTGAGCAGCAGAAAAGAGGGTTCTAGTCAGCTGGAAACTTCTCCCATTTATCTGTGACTCAGAGGTATGGAGAAGGAAGGCAGGATACTTTAGTGGAAGTGGGGAAGGGAGTTGGAGGTCAGTAAAGGGGACTGTGGGGGAGTCTCTGCCTTTGGTCAGTTCCAAGAAAGCAGGACAATGCGCCTCAGCACCTTGTCCGGGGCAGACAGGATCCAGGAGTGCCCCGAGAGTTGACAACGGAGAAGGCAATGGGGGTGAAGGGGTGAGGGGCAGAAGACAAGGGAGTTCACAGAAGTAGTTTGCCATTTCTGTGGATTTTCAGGATACGGCCGAGTCTCTGCTTTGCTGTGGCCAGGCCCTTTTTGGGACGCTTTCCTGTAGGGGAAGGGAGAGGTAAGCACAGGCTATGGCAAGGGCTCCAGCAGCAACTCCAACATCAACTGTTCTAAGGCCACCCCGTCCCCTTTTCCTCTGCCCACTGAGTTTCCACATCCTTACACCTGGCCTCAGGCCCATCCTGGGCAAGAAGCCCTCCTTAACTACTTCCATTCACGACCACATGCCTTGGCTCTTCTTCCTATGACCTCTTGCAGCAGCTATGGACTCCCTGGTTAGTCTGGTTCCTTTCCCCCACTGATTTCTTTGGTTCCGGTAATTTTCCTTCCCAAGTTCTTCAAGGAGGTGATTGTCCCTGCCTGTCCTTAAGTGCCTGACAAATGTCTGGCTAGTGATTATAACTCAGTATCCCTGAAGTTGCCACCCCCAGGGCCTCGTTTCATTAGAAACCTCCATCCTCCTCACCCCAATGCCACACCAACCTCACCCCCGCTGAGCTGTATACTCTGGGGACTGGGCTTTGAGGGCCAAAGTGAGGAAAAGGAAGGCTTGAGTCCTCTTCCCCTCTCCACATCAAATCGCCTCCCATGTCCAACGTTACCTCCATATTCAATCAACTTATCCCCTCTCTATCCATTCCCTCTGCCAGAGCCCCAGCCTCTCTTCACCACAGTTTGAATCTCTGCATGTACCTCCTCCTTAGACTTCCTACCTTCAGCTCAGCCTCTACTCTGGCCACCAGAAGCATCTTTCTAAACCCATCTGAGCTTATTTCTGCTTAACACCAGTCAATGTCTCTTCACGGACTATGAAATCAAGTCCAAAGACTTTAGGTTGGCCGCCAGTGTCCCTCCTAGGTATTCTCATCTACCAGAGTTCATAGCGTTTGGAGCCGGTGGCCTTAAGATCCTTCTCAGTTACCATATGGCAGTTGTACCTTGTCCTGCTTGATTGCTCTGGGAGCCAACTGAAGGGCGCCGCTGGGTCAAGAAGACACCGGGGGCCATGGGTGTGGTGCTGCGGTTTGCCTGGGCCATGCCAAAAGCATTGGGACGAGCTGTATACTCGTGGTCAGCAAGACTTCCTGAGAGGGCCTCTTGTTTAGGCTCAGGAGGAGGTAGGGGTGAGGAGGAGATGAGAAGCTGGGGTGTAGTGGCCAAAGTTGGGGCTGGTGCTGTCACGCTGAGATTGGACTCTTGCGGGCGAGGCTGCTCTACCTCCTTCAACAGAGGCTTCTTCTTGATATATTTCTTCTTTTGGGCCTTCTGCAGCTCCTGAAACATAAGCCAAGTAGAAGTGGAGAATTCAGGAGTGGAGAAAAGAGAATTTCCCAGAAAGGAAACTAGATAATGGTTGATGTGCAACCCACCCCCACCCAAGTCTAGCCTGGATATATGTACACACAAACATATAGGACTTCCAGTACCTGAGGCCATCTCTTTGGTACAATCCATCCTTAAGTCATCACTGTCACTAATCAGTACAGCGGCAACAGGAAGGTAAATGAGTTCAGAGACTTGAGTTTTGGTACTAACACTGTCAGTTTTATGAAGTGGATCGTGGACATTTCTAATAATAATAGCTAAATTTATGCCAGCAGCTGAGGTACTTTATATACTTCACCTCGTTTACTCTTCAGAGCAGCCCTGAGAAGGAACATCCCTCAGTTTACAGATGAGAAAACTGAGGTGCAGTGATATTAAGTATCCTGAGCTCAAAGCCTCACAGCTGAAGAGCTGTTGGGTCCAGGATTCAACCAGGTTTATCTAAACATCCACTTGCACACTTCTCAAAATGGGACATCTGAGAGTAAAAGAATAGTAGTAGGTTTGGGATGAGATAAACTTGGGTTCAAATCTAGGCTTGTACTCCCTACGTTGGATGACCTTGGTCAAGTTACTAACCTTTCTGAATCTCAATCGTCTCATCTGTAAAATAGGCAAAATAATATCTGTTTTTCAGGATTGTTGGAAAGATTAAATAATGACATAAAAACATGTAGTACATAGTAGGTACTCAATAAGTGATAAACTATTATTCTATCTTCATCTCTTACGATGGTATACCTTCCTCTTGCTGGTCTTTTTCTTTTAATAGAGGACTTGACAATCCTCCAGGTCACTGGTCTTAAAACCTCCATCTGGGATGGAGAGAATAAGGAGTTGTGCAACATCTCTCAATATCTTGGATTTCGTCCATCCATTGCTCTGTGGATTTACTATCCACTGGTTAGTGGGTACCTGTACAGTGGACATCTGGAGCCCTGAGAACCTGGAAAGGTTGAGATGCTGAGAGCATGTGAATGACTTCACCTTCTGAAATGCTACACAGCCACACAGACCAACTCAGTGATTATGTTCCTTTGCCTTCTCTTGGCAACACAGGCCTGCTCCTGCCTTCAGAAGATCTGACAGGCTGTGGCTACCATAGGAACTTCTGGTGGACAAGAATAATAATATTAGTAATACATGGCAGGTACTGTTCTGTAATTTAACTCATTTAATATTCTTAAGATGTATTAGAAGAATTATAATCCCAACGAGAGGTTGAGTCATTTTTCCAAGATTATAAGACCAGTAAGTGTCAAATCTGGGACTCAGACTCAAGCCATTTGGCTTCAGAATCTCTTTTTTTCAGCCACACTGTTATTCCACTCAGAGTAGAAACTGCATTTCTGTTCCCATTTCTCTCATGTGAATCCAGAAATTATCTGTTCACATCTAGATCATGTAGCTTAAATTTTTCTACCTTTGTTACCTATTTACTTCTCATATAATTCACCCAGATTCCCCCACGGAAGGCTAGACTGCCTTATGACAAGGCTCTTTGACTTTGGCAATTCCTTTGTTCAAAAAGCCTAGTAGGTTTGCACCCATGTTCAAACTCCCTGGCCTGACATTCATGGTCTTCCTCAGTCTGGCCACATATACCTAGCCAACTCATAACAATGATGATGATAAGCTAACATGTCTATAATATATATACTCAGTGGCAGGTGCTGTTTTCAGAGCTTTTACATATATTATCTCATCTAAGGCTCAAAGTCTACAGAGAAACTGAGGCACAGAGAAATTAAGTAATTTGCTCAGTGGTAGAGCGAGGATTCAAGCTCTGGCAGGCTGGCTCCAGAATCCATTTTTTAACGTCTATGTATCCTGCCCTACTCCTCAACATGAAGCCTCCAATCCAGAAAGATCTGCTCATTCATTCATTCATTCATTCACTCACCCACCACTGACTAAACACATGCTTAGTATACTGGGGATACCAAATTAAATTAGATATATCCCCACTTTTGAGGCACTTACAGTTTAATAAGGGCCACAGAAGTACAGTTACAAGTACCATGAGAGAATGCTATGGAAGCACAGGATACTGAAATATGTTGGTGGTAGATGGCGTGAATGGGTGTTAAGTAAGGCATCTGAGAAGAGGGCATGATTCTCAATGGGCAGAGGGAACAGCTTGTGCAAAGGCACAGAAGCATGAGATAATCTGCTACACTCAGTGAACTACAAGTACCATAGTAAAATAGTATGGCTGGTGTAAAGGGCATGCATGAGGGGACTAGCAGGAGGTCAGGGAGGAGAGGTGACCAGAGACCCAATCAAGAAGGACGGTGCATGCTGTTATCAAGGAGTTCTCTTCTCCTGGAATGCCTCCCTGTCCCCACCAAAAGCTTCATCTGCAAAACCCCTGCTCAATTTCAAAACCTTTTCTTTGAGGTAATTCTTGATCAACTCAAACAGAAGCAAGCTCCTTAGAAGGCACTAAGAGTAGTTTTCACACCTTTAATTAATTTATCTGTTTATTTAAAGCAGTAGAAACTCATTTTTTTTTTCAAATTACATTTTACATGGTGTTATAGGATACAGATAACAGAGACGTTCAGGTCAAAGAGGGGCCGCCTGGCCTGCTTGGTCTCTGTTGGCTCACAACAGTAGCATCCGAGACAATTCTCAGTAATTCTAGAGCACCATAGAACATATTAAAAACACCATTCTATTAAATTTTTTTAAAAATAGGATATAATTGTTGAATTACATAAACATTTAACTATTTTATTTTATTTAAATAATAAGTAACATGAGTTAGAGGATATGAGTTTGAATCTTGTCTCCTTCATTTACTGGCTTTATTTTCCTGGACTAGTCACTTAAAGAGAGCCTCATTTTCTTCACCTGTAAAATGATGAAAATATCACCTATTGCAGGAATGTTGGGCAGATCACATGAGACATTGTACATGGAAGCACCTAACATAAAACAGATGCTTAATAAATGTTCTAAGCTATACAATGTAGCATGAGAAGATAGGGAGATGTTGACAAGGAGAGAACCAGAAGATTCCCCTCCAACTGCTCAGAGAGTTGCTGAGCCCATTATACACATTTATGAACTCTGCAAACTCTAACATGGTAAAATGTCAACTTGATTCTAGTGAAGTGACCCTTTAGGATAAAAATTAGGGGGTGAAGTTTTTTGGGAAGCAGGGGGTGAATATCAAGGCAACAGTGTTTGGTATAGAGGACAAGAAAAGCCTCTCTTAAAAAGTAAATTTCAATACTGGTGAGTAGTTGAGTATACTCAATTGAGTCACCTCCTTGGGGCTTTAGCTGAAGGTAAATGCTGTTACCGAAGGACAGACCTGGTCCCTCCCATCTGAGAGGATTTTACACATCCAGAAAAGCAAGGGTTGTTCTCTGGCACTCTATTTTCTTTCACCCTAAATCATGTCAACTCTGTGACTTGTGGAAGTAGCTTGTCATTGAGTTGGGATCTGAAGGATATAGGAAGAACTAGGATACTATCATGGATAAAGATAAAAGGTTATCCACTCCCCAATGAAACAATGGGATCCTAACAACCCAAAGGTCTGAACTTTGAGGCTCTAAGTCAAACTAGGATCAGTAGCAGCGCCATTCTCTGGGTGTTAGCACCTACCTGTTGGGCCAGCTTTGCAGCTGCTGCGGCCAAACCTGTCTCAATGGAAGCAACCCGGGTCCCCTCGCGCACAGGACGGTCTTGCTTCGGTAGGGTTGGGGTCACACGGGCTGCAGAGGAAGTAGGATAAAGAATGCCAACCATATTTCCCACCTCTGAGCCCCCCAAAGATGACCTCATTGGTTTTCCTGCTTCCTATCAGGTAAGAAGCTAATTCGCAAATACCTAAAGTGCTTTAAGCACATACTTATAAAAGGATAAAAGTTAACTTCCCTGAATTGGCATTTAAGGTAGTCCATGTTTTGCTCCTGGCCTATCTTCCTCACCAACCTTATTTCCACATCCATATTCTCAGCTTCTCCAGACAAAATGGCTTCCTTATTATCCCTTCAGAATATGTACAGCTCATCCTCTCTCCCTTCATCCTCACCATCCACACTATCTGGAGTACCCTCTTCTCTTTTGTCCACCTCTTCAAAACCTGCCCATCCTTCAAAGGTAAGCTGAAATCAACCTTCTATGCAAACCTCTAGGACTTCTCTGGCTCACGCTGACCTCTCCCTCCCCTGAACTTATAATATATACAAGTCACTTAATACATAGCACATATTATCTTGCTTCATTCTCTAATGTTGATGTGTGTTGTTTTATCTACCAATCTGGCTATGAGCTCTTGAAGATCATCTTCTTGTATAATCCTTTTATAATGCCTTAACAATCTTGCATCAAAAAATAGTTACTCATCCCACTTTTACATAGGAAGTGAATTTCAGTATAACCAAACAGCCCTAGATGATGAAAGCTTTTCTTTACAGAAGAATGCCAGCTAATAAATGTAGAAGGAATGACAGGATTAGAAAATCATAGGTTTGCAAGCCCTAATGAAAAAACTGATTCTAGGGCACTGGATAGTCACATAGTATCGAAGTACTGCCTCACTGATTACTTGCTAGTCAAGAAGAAGAAACCAACTTGACAAGGGTGAGATGAGGAAATCCCCCCTTAACTAAGTATTAACCTACTGTCACTAATAGTGAGACAACTTCATATATCTCCTGATGCAATGCGACAGGAAATTCACAACATTATTTGGGAAGTAGTTTTGTCAAAGATCTAAAATCAAGTAAGCAGCTCTTATTACTTCCAGTTTTTAGAAAACACAGAGATAAAAGAACAAGTTAAATGACACCATGAGAAAACAGACATTCCAAGATAACTGGCCTGGTTTCATTAAAAAAACAATGTCACATGGAAGAAAACAAATCTAGAAGGTGGAATGTGCTACAGGACAATCATACCAGTTTTTTTACAACAAATCAAAAGCATAAAACAAAAAGGTGGGAATGCTCTAGATTAAGAGTGACTTAAAAAGCATGACAGACAAATGCCACATGGACACTCTTTGGATCCTGATTTAAACAAATCCACTGTAAAATTATTTTTAGTTAGACAACTGAGGAAATTTAATTATGGACTTAGTACTAGATAACATCAAGATTATTATTAAATTATTATTTTGTTAAGTTTGATAACAGGACTGTGGTTATGTGAGAAAATGTCCATATTTTTTAGAGATGCATACAAGTATGTAGAAGATGGGAATGACACAGTATCTGGGATTTGCTGTAAAGCATAGACAATTTTTTTAAAAAAGAAGTTACTGATGAAACAAATATGGCAAAATCTTGATAACTGTTGAATCTCAGTGATGGGTGTACGATAATTCATTGCACTATTCTATTTTTAATTAAAGAAAAAAAGCAATGTTACAAAAAAAAAAAAAAAAAGAGGTGGTGGTGGTACTGACCTAGATTTAAAGATTCCTTGGTCGGTTAGCTGTTATTATTACAAAGGAGACTTTCCGTATAAACGTGCGGATTCTAGAACAGGCAGTTCAGGAGGTTGAAGTCTTTTCTTTAACAGTGATTTTTTTTTGTTTATAAAATGATCTAAAGCAAATCTAGCAAAAATGTTAATGCTCAATTTTTGGTTATGAATTCATCAGTATATTTTCTATTGTTCTCTATAGTTTTGTAAGTGCAGTGGTTTTAAAACAAGACCCAGGTTCTATTAATAGGTGGAACCTATGTCTCAGCAGGCTCATTTATAGCCTATAGTATGTGGTGAAAGTGATACTGCAAAACTTCTGAGGCTATGTCAGAAAAGGCAATTTCAGTTTCTACATTGCTTGTTGGAGCACTAACACTTAGAGCCCTGAGCAACTATGTAAGAAGTATGATTGCCTTGAGGTCACCAGGCAGTGAGGAAGCTAGACACATGGAGAGGCTACATGGTGGCACTCTGCTTGGCACTTCTAGTATCTGAGTCCTCCCAGCTCAGGCACCAGATATGTGAGTTAACAAGACTTCAGATGATTAAAACTTCTGGCCATTAAGTGACCCCCAGCCTTCAAATATTCCCAGCTGAAACCTTAGACAAAATAGAGTAGAGATAAGTTGCTCTCATTGTGCCTTTTCCAAATTCCTGACCTATACATTATATGGGCAAGTTGATGTTTCAAGTTGAAAACAACCTTTTTGTTTGAACCTGATTTTGGGGAAAAGAGACTATAAAAGAAATTGTGGGAGTGACGTCAGAAGCATTGTGGCATGAGGGATCTCCCCTGATCTCTTCCCTTCAAATTACAACAAGCTGAATACCTACAATCCAACAAATAACACCCAACCCACACACAAGCATGTCTGAGAGATCTGCGCATCAAGGAATCTAAGGGTGGGCCAATCGCGTGAGACAGGGTGGTGGAAAGGGAGAGAGGATCAAAGACAGACAGGCAAAAGGCAGCTGGAGCTCCATGCAGGTTGAGGGGGAGGGAGGAATTATGAGGCTTTTTTTTTTTTTTTCTCTTTGAAGCTCTAAACAGTCCTGCCTGAGTAGTCAGCATGTTCCATGCAACAGAGCCAAGAACAGGGCAGAAACCTAGTGCGGAGGGGCACCAGCTTTGTCTTAGCAACTGCCATTGATTGCTAGGCAGAAAGCTGAGTCATGGAATCTGGCCCCCTCCCTTTACCATCCCAGTTGCGCCCTCCCCACCACCATACCCTCCCAGAGCCCCAGGGGAATTTGCAGCAACCAGAACTGAAATACACACTGCAGTCTCACAGTGACAGAGGCAGAGCTATAGAAGCAAGGCAGCTGAAGCTTGAAGGCCAGTATTACTGGAAGGAAAACAGCCATACACAACGCTGGCCTCCCCCAATTCACTACACCCCCACCCAGTCAGGCTGATTCGGAAGGAAGCAAAACAGCACTGCATCTGACTGTTGGCACAGTACAGGGACTTTAGGGCCTTTTCAGAGGCTCAGACACCCATCGCCCTTCACATTCAACCACAGGGATGGAGCCCTGAAACTAAGGCAACCTGATCATAGAGGAGATACACACCTCTCCAGAGAATAAAGGGCATTTTCAACCTCAAAGCAGACATCCAGGAGGCTTGGGCAGTTCTGGAGGATTGGGCACCACTTACTGGAAATCAAGAGAAAAACTTCTTCTTACCAACCTGCTAAAGAGAGATCACTATATAATAAATTTTCTTTTTAAAGCAGAGTACATTCCCATTAATGCCTAGGCAGAAAAATAGTCCATGAAATATCACTAACAACCAAGGTGACAAGGTAGCTCAGAAAGAAAATGAAAAATCTCCAGAAAATAAACTTAAAGATATAGAAATATGCAATTTCAATGACAGAGAATTCAAGATTGCAGTTCTGAAAAACTCAACAAGATGCAAGAAAATTCTCATTAACAGTTCAAAGAACTTAGAAAAAAAATCAACAAACAACAGGAATACTGTACCAAAGCGATTTAAACTCTAAAAAAGAACCAAATAGAACTTCTGCAGATGAAGAACTTATTAAAAGAGATGAAGAATAAAATAGCAAGCTTAGGAAATATTGCTGACCAGATGGAGGAAAGAATTAGTGATATTGAAGATAGAAATTTAGAAATGACACAGATGGAAGAAGAGAGAGAATTGAGAGTGAAAAAAATGAAAGAACTTTTACAAGAACTATCTGACACCATCAGGAAATACAACATAAGAATAATGGATATACCAGAAGGAGAAGATAGGGAGAAGGGAACAGAGAGCCTATTCAAACAAATAGTCAAAAAGAACTTTCCAAACTGGTGGAAAGAACTGGATTCTCAAATCCAAGAAACAAACAGAACACCTAATTATCTTAATTCAAAAAGACCTTCTCCAAGGCACATTATATTAAAACTGTCAAAAATTAATGACTAAGAAAGGATTCTCAAGGCAGCAAGGGAAAAGATGATAACCTATAAAGGAAAACCCATTAGATTACCATCAAATTTTTCAGCAGAAATGCTACAAGCTAGGAGGGAGTGGAATCAAATATTTAAACTATAAAAAGAGAGAAATTACCAGACAAAATAATATATCCACCAAAGTTCTCCTATCTATATAAAGGAGAAATAAAGACCTTTTCAAACATACAGATGCTGAGGGAATTTTCCACCACAAGGCCTACATTACAAGAACTACTAAGAGGATCATTCTACTTGAAATAAAAGGACAAAAAATATGTAACTATGAAAAAGATGACTAACAGGGAGACAGAAACAGGAAAGTGCAAACCCTTATTAAGAACAAGATATCATCATAAGCTTATATATTACATAATAGTTAAAGGTAAAAAAAAAACACTTTAAAAAGAGAAGACAACAGATACTGCGACCTAGAAATGAACATACAGCATAAATAGGGATAATTTGATTAAAAAAAAATGGAACAGGGAGGGAGTAAAGATCTGAATTAGCAAAGAGGAATGGAGATAAGGCGCATGTAGAAGAAAAAGGACTACTGTGTGTGTGTGTGTGTGTGTATACATTTACATATGTATATGTATGTGTGTGTGTATATATACACACGCACACACAGGCACACACGCACACACGCACACACACACACTATCCTTTACATAAAATTAATGGTAACCATACACAAAAAATCCAGAACCGAGACACATAACATAAAATAGGAGGGAACAGAGGAAAAAACCACAAAATACCACCTCCCCTAAAAAAAATGACAGAAGAAACAAAAGGACAGAAAAACAATGGAGATACCAAGCTACTAGAAAAAAGATAAAATGGCTATAGGAAAACCTCAGATATCAATAATCACCCTAAATGTAAATGGACTGAACTCACCAATCAAAAGGCACAGAGTAGCAGATTGGGTTAAAAAATAAAAACCCAATCATATTCTGCCTTCAAAAGACACATCTCACTAACAGGGACAAAAAGAGACTCAAAGTGAAAGGGTGGAAAACAATACTCCAAGCAAATGGCATCCAGAGAAAAGTGGGTGTAGCCATACTTATATCTGACAAAATAGACTTCAAGATAAAAAAACATAACAAGAGACAAAGAAGGATTTTCACAATGATAAAGCAGACCATACATCAAAAAGACATAACACTTATCATGTCCTTATAAGAGACAGAAGGGAAAAATACAGATACACATGAAGAGAAGGCAATGTGAAGATGGAGTAGAGAGAGATATGAAGATGCTGGCCTTGAAGACCGAAGTAATGTGCCCGCACAAACTGAGTGTGGTGGCCACCAGAAGCTGGAAGAGGAAAGAAATGGATTCTTCCCTAGAGCCTCCAGGGGAAGCATGGCCCTGCTGACACTTTGATATCAGTGTAGTGATACTGATTTGGTTTTCTGGCTTCCAGAACTGTGGGAGAATATTTAGGATAGAATAGTAAGAATACTTAGATACAACAGCTTTTTAGAGGTTAAAATCTAATGTTAAGCTACCAATTCATATTGATCTGAAATGAAGGGAACTAAAATTTTGCTATGCTGAAACTGCTTTGGGAGATATAGATTTTCAGGTGTTTATTTAAAAAAAAGATTCAGAAAAAACCTTTGACCCTCATCCCTTTCTTGTGCAAGAGAATCAGAGACAGAAACCTGCTTCAGGAAGGAATCTTAGAATGCTACCTCGGCCTAAATTGAATTAAGTATAGTAAACAAGAGGACATAAGGCTGGTGCCTATTAGCAAGAAACACCCTGTGACCCATTGTTTGAGTTACCACACAAGAATGTTCCTGCCATGTATGTTGTACTCTTCTTCAACTACCTGTAAATTGCTCACTCTCACTTCTGAAATCTAACACTCCTTCCACGCTTTTCTCCAATGTCTTATATACCCAATATTGTTGCCTCACTGTCACTGGAATTTTCATGCTTATATAAATGCCCTGAGAACATATATTAAAATTCTGATTTTCTTCTGTTAAAAAAAAAAAAAAGACATAACACTTATCAACATATATGCTCCCAACTAGGGAGCACCAAAATATATAAAGCAACTAGTAACAAAACTAAAGGAGAAACTGACAAAAACACCATTATAGTAAGGGACCTAAACACCCCACTGACAGGTATGGATAGATCATCCAAACAAAATCAAAAGGAAATATCAACTTGAATGACACATTAGACTAATTGGACATAATCGACATTTACAGAGCCCTTCGTCCCAAAACATCAGATTATACATTTTTCTCTAATGCCCATGGAACATTCCCAGAGACAGAACATACACTGAGACAAAAAATAAGCCTCAACAAATTTAAGAAGACTGAAATCATTCCAAGAATATTTTCTGCTCATAATGCTTTGAAACTGGAGATCAACTGTAAAAAAGAATGCAAGAAGAACCACAAATATATGGAGATTAAACAATATGCTGCTAAAGAACAACTGGATCACAGAAGAAATAAAAGGAAAGATCAAGACATACATAGAAACAAACAAGAATGAAAGTATAACATATCAAAACTTTTGGGATGCAGCAAAAGCGGTAATAAGAGGAAAGTTCATATCATTACAGGCCCATCCAAAGAAATAAGAAAAATGCCAAATATACAACCTAAACTACATGTTAAAAAAATAGAGAAAGAAGAACAAATGAAGCCTAATGTCAGCAGATGGAAGGAAATAAAAATTAGAGCAGAATTAAATGAAATTGAGAGGAGACAATAGAAAAAATTAATGCAACAAACAAGTGGTTCTTTGAGAAGATCAAAAAAACTGACAAAACCCTGGCTAGACTCATTAAGGAAAAAAAAGATACAAACAAAATAAGAAATCAAAAGAAATTACGACATATACCACTGATATACAAAGCTTCATACAAGAATACTATGAAAGATTATATACCACCAAATTCAATAACCAATAAGAAATGGACAAGTTCTTAGAAATATACAACCTTCCTAAACTGAATCATGAAGAAGTGGAAAATCTAAATGGACCAATCAGCAGTATGGAAATTGAAACAATTATCAAAAACCTCACAAAAAGTAAAAGTCCAGGACCAGATGGCTTAACTAGTGAATTCTCCCAAATATTCAAAGATGATTTAATTCCTGTTCTCAAACTTTTCCAAAAAATTGAAGAGGCAATACTTCCTAACTCATTGTATGAGGCCAACATTACCCTGATACCAAAACCCGGTAAGGATAACACAAAAAAAGAAAACTATAGACCAATATCTATGGTGAACACAGATCCAAAAATCTTAAAATACTAGCAAATTGAATACAACAATACATTAAAAAGATTATATATCATGATCAAGTGGGGTTTATTCCAGGGCTGCAAGGATGGTTCGACATATGCAAATTGATCGTGGTGATACACCACATAAACAAAATAAAGGATAAAATTCATATGATCATATCAAGAGATGCACAGAAAGCATTTGACAAGATACAGCATCCACATGATTAAAACACTTAATAATAAAATGGGGATGAAAGGAAAGTACCTCAACATAATAAAAGCTATATACAACAGACCCTCAGCTAATATCATACATAATAGTAAAAAACTAAATGCCTTCCTTGTAAGATCAGGAACAAGACAAGGCTGTCTGCTCTTACCACTCTTATTCAATATAGTGCTGGATATCCTGGCTTCAGCAATCGGGCAAGAGAAAGAAATAAAAGGAATCCAAACTGGGAATGAATGGATCAAATTGTCACTTTTTGCAGATGACATGATTCTCTATATAGAAAACCCTAAGACTCTACCAAAAAACTATTAGAAACAATAAACAAAAAAACCATTAGAAACAATAAACAAGTAAAGTTGCAGGATACAAAATCAATGTACAAAAATCCATAGCATTCCTATATACTAACAATGAAATTTCAGAAAAAGAAATAAACAACAATTCCTTTTGCAATTGTAAAAAGAATAAAATACCTAGAAGAAACTTAAGAAAGCATGTGAAAGACCTATACACTGAAAACTATGACATTATTAAAAGAAACTGAGGAAGATGCAAAGAAATGGAAAGATATTCCATATCCATGGATAGGAAGAATCAACATAGTTAAAATGGCCATATTATCCAAAGCAGTATACAGG